GGAAATGTTTCACACTTTTAATGCGGCTTAATTGATAAAAATATACTGATTTTCAATTGTGTATGTCGCATTCTGTGTTACTCATGTATTACGTAACTTGCATTGTTGGATATTTTGTAGAATAAGGACTCATAAAATTATACGGTTTGTTTCGTTTTCCAAACCCGTTTTCCGCCCATCGTGTCGACTTTGCCCCACTTTCCCCTAAGTCACGGTCGCTGCAATTGCACTCGACTGTAATGAATCGTTTGTAATCTCTGCTCGAACCGATCGAGAACTTTTCCAAGTAGCTACAACAAACACAATGTTTAATACCTGATAACAACCCGAATAACAAGTTCAAATCTCTCGGCGCATTTATATAAATTAGCGCCGACAGAACAGTTAATTGCAAACGCGAACCGAGCCGATTACGTTCGGTGTATTTTTCAACAAAGCCCACGAAAAGAACAAATTAAAAGTTGCAAATCTGGCGGAAGCGGCTAATTATTTTCTCCCCTTTTCCGCTTGATGAATGGAGGTTTGTAAATTAGCCGAATAAACTCTCAGAGGAAAGTGAAAAATTGGAGCACTACTACTAACCTTGTGAAATAATTAATGTGGATAGCGAATTTCTTACTACACATCGGTATTTGGAGTATAATAATTAATGACCTTTTTTTTTTCTAAGCTTCAAAACGAATTAATGATCTTGATTCGGAATGTGTCGGTTTTATTGCACAATTTTTCTCGCTAATGAACGAGCAAATGGCCATAAATCGTACTGTGAAGAATTTGATTATGTGGAATCCCTTTGACCCTAATTTCGGGTCTTGCCTCAGGTCTGCAATTTTGTGTAATTATGAATGGAACACGGGCCTCACTATTTACATAATGCAATGAACAGGTCGCTAATTTATTCATGAGTAGACAGGAAAAATTTTTACGGTTGGTCGAATCCAATTCTCACATTCGTGCCTTATCGCGACCGATGTGGAAAGTGTGCGCATTTCAAACTGGATTAAAATCTGATTAGGAAAATTATTTCGACAAAATTACATCTTTTGCGATTTCTGTTTTCTGATAACCCCTATAAATTTTCCAAGTTTTGAATTTTTCAATTTTTAAATTTTGAAATTTTTCGTTTCGGTTTTCTATTTTCTTTATTTTTTCAATTTTTCGTTTCTTCAGTTTTTCGATTTGCAATTTTTTTTAATTTATAGTATTTTGTGCCTTCAATATTACGAATATACAACTCTTCGAGTTTTCATTTTAAAATTATTCAGTTTTCGATTTTCCAATTTCCGTATTTTTCAAATAATCATTTCTTGAATTTTGCTTTTTGCAATTTTTCGTTTTGTTTCTTTATTTTCTTTTTATGTATTTTTAAATTTTTCGGTTTTTTAATGTTTTGATTTTATCATTTTTATTTTTTAATTTTTGGTCGTTTCAATTTTAGATTTTTCACTTTCACGATTTTCTCATTTTTCGATTTTATTGGATTTTAAAACTTTTTCATTTATTCGATTTTTCATTTTTTCGGTTTTTCATTTTTCAATTTCTCGATGTTAAATTTTTCAATTTTTCCACTTTTCGCTGCTACAGTTTTTCGATTTTTTATTTTTCAATTTTCCAGTTTTTCGATTTTTAACTTTTCGTATCAAAAAAATGGAAAAATTGCAAAAGTGGAAAGTTGGAAAATCAAAAGTGAAAAAACGTTCTTTAATTTCTGATTTGCAATTATCCTAGTTTTCATTTTAAATAGATAATAATAATGATAATTTTTAAAATTTTGCAGTTTTCCAATTATTAATTATTGGATTTTGAAACTTTTTCATTTATTCGATTTTTCATTTATGAATTTCTCCATATTAATTTTCCCACATTCAGATTTTTCAGTACTACAGTTTTTCGATTTTTCAACTTTACGAATCAAAATAATGGAAAAATTGCAAAAGTGTAAAGCTGAAAAATCAAAAATGAAACATCGAAAAAGTATAAAATGAAAACTTGGGAAAATTTAAAAATTAGAAATCAAGAACCCGAAAAAATAAGAAACGAAAAATTGAAAAATCAAAAATTGAGAAACCTAAACATCGGAAAAGTGCAAAATCTAAAAAACAAAATATGTATATATGTATTGTAAAATCAAAATTTTGAAAATTAAAGAAATTGAAAAAATGAAAAAACTAAGGAAACGAAAAACTGAAAAATTAAAAATTGAGAAACTAAAAAATCAAAAATGAAAAATCGAAAAAGTATAAAATGAAAACTTCGGAAAATTTAAAAATTGGAAATCAAAAACTCCAAAAATTCAAGAAACGGGAATCAAAAGTGAAAAGTCGAAAATGTATGAAATAAAAACTTCAGAAAATTTAAAAATTGGGAATCAAAAACTCGAAAAATTCAAGAAACAAAAAATTGAAGAATTGAAAGATTGAGAAACAGAAAAATCAAAAATGGAAAATAGAAAAATTATAAAATAAAAACTTCGGAAAATTTCAAAATTGTAAATCAAAAATTCGAAAAATTTAAGAAACTAAAAATTGAAAAATCGAGAGAATAAAAATTGAGAAACTTAAAAATCGACAAAACGAAATATGTAATATACTGTAAAATCAGAATTTTGAAAATTAAAGAAATCGGAAAATCGGATGTAAGAAATCCAAAAATTGCAAAATTTGGAAAATTGGAAAACCGAAGATTGAAAATTTGAAAAATTGAATAAACGAAAAATTATAAAATCGAACAAAACATTGAAAAAATAAAGGAATGAAAAAACGAAAAATTGTGTTATAAAATCCAGAAAATAAAAATAAAAAATGGGGATATCAAAAATAAAATCAAGAACTCGAAAAATTGAGAAAACGAAAAAAATAAAAAATCGAAACAGTATAAAATGAAAACTTCGGAAAATTTAAAATTGGAAATCAAAAACTCGAAACATTTAAGGGACGAAAAATTAAAAAATCGAAAGATTGAAAACTGAGAAACTGAAAAATCAAAAATGACAAATCTAAAAAGCATTAAATGTAAACTTCGGAAAATTTAAAAACTGGTTACATCAAAAGTCGAAAAATTTAAGAAACGAAAAATTATAAATCGAAAGAAACATTGAAAAACTAATGTAAATGAAGAAAATTGTGATATAAAATCGAGAAAATGAAAATTAAAAAATCGGAAAATCAAAAATAAAATCAAGAACTTGAAAAATTGAGGAAACAAAAAATTGAAAAATCGAAAAATTAAAAAATGAGAAACTGAAAAATCAAAAATGAAAAATCGAAAAATTATAAAATGAAACCTTCGGAAAATTTAAAAACTGGAAATCAAAAACTCGAAAAATTTAAGAAACGAAAAATTGAGAAATCGAAAAATTGAAAATTGAGAAATTGAAATATCAAAAATGAAAAATTGAAAAAGTATAAAATGAAAACTTCGGAAAATAAAAAATTGGGAATCAAAAACTCGAAAAATTGAAGGAACGATAAATAGAAAAATTGAAAAATTAAAAATTTTAAAAATTGAATGAAGGAAAAATTATAAAATTGAGAAATGAAAAGAAATGAAAAAATGAAAAATTGTGATACAAAATCGACAAAATGAAAATTAAAAAATCGGGAAAATCAAAAATGAAATCATGAACTTGAAAAATTGAGGAAACAAAAAATTGAAACATCGAAAAATTAAAAAATGAGAAACTGAAAAACCAAAAATGAAAAATCGAAAAATTATAAAATGAAAACTTCGGAAAATTTAAAAATTGAAAATCAAAAACTCGAAAAATTTAAGAAACGAAAAATACAAAAATCGAAAGATTGAAAATTTGAAAAATTGAAAAAACGAAAAATTATAAAATTGAAAAAATAAAGAAAATGAAAAAACGAAAAATTGTGATATAAAATCGAGAAAATGAAAATTAACAAATAGGGAAAGTCAAAAATAAACCCAAGAACTTGAAAATATGAACAATTGCAAAGCCAAAAATTGAAAAATTCGGAAGCCGAGAATTTTAAAATTTGGAAAAATTAAAATTTAATTTTGCAAATTTTGAAATGTTGAAGTTTATTTCAGGTTAGTTCTTCCACTACAAAATTTTGTAATGACGCCATCATTTTTTTTTTGAAGGAGTTAACGAATAGATTTTTATTTTATTTTTTCCTAAAAATCTGGACACGGTTTCATAAACTACATGTGAAGAAGTATAATTGAAATTGAAATAATATTTATTAATATAAATTTTGGAGATGACGTCATCCTATTGTTGGTCGGAACGTTGATCCAAATTTTGATAGGGTTTTACCATCTACACGATATTCCTAATACACATATAAAATACGACAACAATCGATCCAGAAATGTATTTTTTCGTGGTCTAGGGGTCATGACACGTCGCAAAAACATAAAAAGTAGCCAGTCGTCCAATGGACTCGACTACAAAATGAATATATCTCTCACTAAAAAATATCAAAATTCAAGTTGGCTGATTGTTAATCGAACTAATTAAAGTTTCCAGTTGGGTCAGATCTGGGTTTTGTACTTACTTTATTATCCCCAAAGCCCTTATCTCCCACCCACAAACCGATTTTTTTCGTTTTATTAACTAATAAATATGCGCTTAATCCGAATCTCGTTTTCCCCAACCCGTCCTCCAAAATATTTTACAACCCCGTAAACTGTATCCCCTTATTAAAAGTGAAAATTGCCACCTAGAGGGCCCCCGTCATCATAATCGGCATCCAGGAAAAAATCTCGCCCTTTATTAACCCATTTCAAATTTAATAAACCCACTTTATTTACACGTGAGCTCGTGCAAAGTTCAAGGACTTTTTTAAATACCCACAAGACACAAGGTTACAAATCCAACATCCTTGTCCTTCCCAAACATCGACCGACTCCTCATCAACCGCCACCACGTCATAAATAATTCCTCAAATTTAAATAACTTAGCATAATAACCACGAATTAATTTCCATTTATGTACAAGCTGCATTGCGCTCATACGAATCCCCCTTTTCCAGATTCCTGGCGATCTGGTGGCCCTTGAAATGCCAAATCACGAAACGACGAGCCCGGATCATGATCATCTTCATCTGGTTCATCGCGCTGACCACGACCATCCCATGGGCGATTTTTTTCGACCTGGTGGTGATCTTCAGCGACGCTCCAGACGTGCAACTGTGCATAGAAGTGTGGCCCGATTCCATGAACGGAGCTTTGTATTTTCTCATCGCGAATATGGTCTTCTGCTACATTTTGCCCATGATTTTGATCACACTTTGCTACGTTTTGATCTGGATCAAAGTGTGGAGAAGACACATCCCGACGGATACGAAAGACGCCCAAATGGAACGCATGCAACAGAAGTCGAAAGTGAAAGTGGTCAAGATGTTGGTAGCCGTGGTGATTCTATTCGTCCTGTCGTGGCTACCTTTGTACGTGATTTTCGCCCGGATTAAGCTCGGTGGAGACATAGAAAGCTGGGAGGAGGAGATTTTGCCCATTGCTACACCCATCGCGCAGTGGCTGGGTGCCTCCAACTCTTGCATCAACCCGATTTTGTACGCTTTCTTTAATAAGAAGTTTCGTCGGGGTTTTGTCGCCATCATCAAGAGTAGGAAGTGCTGCGGGAGGTTGCGGTACTACGAAACTGTGGCGATGATGAGTTCTTCGACGAGCATGCGCAAATCGTCGCATTTCTACAACAACAACTCGTCGACTCGGAAAATACCCCTCCAAGACACCGCGGTTTCGTACATCTACAACAATACGGGTGTCTAAAGTCCTGGAAATGGACGCCACCTGGTGGTTTTGGTCTCACTTGGAACGAATCGTACACGATTCGATTTTTTGGACTGAGTTCTGTAATTGTGTCGAATGCGAATTCGGTGTTAATATTAAGAAAATAACGAGGTAGAAGAGGGTAACTGTGGAACAATATGGCAGAAATTTTTGACAGCTTGGTTGAGCTTTAACGATTAGGATGCACTAGTGTCTTAAGTTAGAGATATTTTTACATGAGAGACTAGGATTTACGTTGGTTTGGTGTTAGAGTAGTGCTGTGTCTGATACAGAGGCGCAGTGGCGGTTTTAAAAGCAGAAATTTTTAATTAGAGCGCCGCCACTGTCGTCCACGCTTACACCTAGATACAACTGCCCTGTTAGAACAATATCAGTTTTACGTACACAGTACCTTACTAAATCTATTTTAATGTTAAATGTAACGTTGACGTTGGATGTTGTACCGCCGTGACATCCATTTTTAAAATTTTATCGATCGTGTGTATTTACTGTTAAGAGAGCTAAAACGAGGCTAGCGCTGTTTCGACAATCACCCAAAATTCACACTAAGTATACGGACAATAAAGTATGCCAAAGTGTATCAGTATTCAGGCAAAGAAACCGAGACGGCAAGTCGTTCGACAATAATACAGTAAAGCCGTCACTGAATTTACTCACGCTGCTGTTTCAAAGTTTGCTGCTTCGTTTTTGGCTCTTTGTCACTAGTTCCAGACAGATGGGAGCATTGTGATATAGTGATAATATAATGTACAGACTACAGAGTCGGCGCGATATTTTGATATGGGAAAGGTTTAATCTGTGTTTCAGGATTATTGCATGTCGTGTTTAGTTACTAGGTTTTGAGGATTTTTTTGGGATTTTGGTGTCTTAGACGAAACGATGGCAGAAATGACTATATGCATTGTTTTGACTGTAAGTTTCTATAAGATGTAATAATATAATTTGAAATAAATACTATTAGACTATGATTTTTTTTTTATTCTTGCGATCCATCACAGGCTGCCAATATTAGTGTCAATGTCGCCACAGAGCTAGAAATTTGCATAAGGTTGTGAAAGTGGACACGAGATCGTATCACTTCATCGTCTTGCGAGAAAAACAATGTTATAATTAATTTCGAAGTGTGTGGTAGTGACATTGTAATCATTCATGCGAAGACGCGCGTTGTGTAATAAAATGTAGCAAATTCTTTTGACTTTATCGCTCGTTTCGCAAGCGATTTCGTACTTTGATTAATTTAAATGGGGAATGGCGAAGCAGGAGGCCGATAATGGGTTGATAACGTGAGTCAGCGAAAATTTTATGAACATAACGCGGATTTTTTGAGAAAACGGAAGCCACCGGATAATGAATTACGTTTAAATGTTGACTATTTTTTTATTTTCCAATTTCCCGACTTTCCAGTTTCCATTTTTTTCAATTCTTCAATTTTTCGATTTTTCAGGTTTTTTATTTCCCAATTTTCCAATCTTTTAATTTCTCAATTTTTGGATATTTTAGTTTTGGGATTTTTCAATATTTCGATTTTCAGACCCCTGGATTTTTGATTTCTTGATTTTTTATTTTTGGATTTTCAATTTTTTCGTTAAACGTTAAGATCTTGCAATTTTTGACTGTTTTATGTACAAAATTCGGTTTCTGAATTTTTCAACTTTTCGATATTTTAACTTTTCAATTTTTAAAATATTGGGTTTTTCGATCTCTTGAGTTTTCAGTTCTCTACATTTCAATTTTTCAATTTTCCAAATTATTCAATTTTCGATTTTACAATTTCTTGTAATTTTTTGATTTTTCAATTTTTTTATTTCTCGATTTATCGAATTCAGATGTTTCGATTGATTCAAATTCTCGATTCATCAATTGTTCAATTTTTTTAATTCTAAAGTTTTGATTTCTCGATTTGTCGATTTTTGAGTCATAGATTTTCGAATTTTTATTTTTTGATTATTCAGTTTTTCAATATTTATATTTTTCAATTAATCTATTTTTGATTTTCCCATTTCTCGACTTTCGTACTTTCGATTTTACAGGTCTTCAATTCTTCGATTTTTCGACTTTTCTTTTTTGGTTTTTCGATTTCTCAATTTTCCAGTTTTTTAATTTCTCAATTTTTGGATATTTATATTTCTGTATCTCAATTTTTAACTTTTCATTTTTTAATTTTTCTAATTTTAAATTCTAGATTTTTCTATTTCTCGAATTTTAAAATTTTTTGATCTCTCGATTTATCGAGATTTGGCAGTTTAGATGTTTTGATTGTTCAATCTCTCGATTTATAAATTTTTCCAATTTTAACTTTTCGATTTTGGCCTATTTATATTTCGAAACGGTCGAAAAATTGAAAAATAGAAGAAAAATTGAAGAATCGAAAAACTGAAAAAACACAAAAACGAAACATCCAAAAATTGGGACATTAAAACATTGAAAAAAAAAAATAGATTAATCGAGAAATAGGATTTTCCAATTTATGGATGTTTCTATTTTTCAATTACCCGATTTTTCGATTTTTCAATTTTCCAATTCCGGAGTTTCGATTTTTCAGTTTTTCGGTTTTGAAATTTTAAATTTTCGAATTTTCGATTTCTCGATTTTTTGAGATTTCAGTTCTTCAGTATTTCTAGTTTTCAATTTTTCGAATTTTAACGTAGCCAAATTTTCAGTTTTCCGATTTCTTAATTGATCTATATATTTTTGATTTTCCCATTTTCCTCAACATTTCTATTTTTCAGTCCCTCACTTCTCCGATTTTTCGCCTTGGCTTTTTTGGGTTTACGATTTTTCAATTTTCCTTTTTTTTTAATTTCTCAATTTTTGGATATTTCTTTCAGTTTTGGGATTTTTAGATTTTTTATTTTTTGGATTTTCAGTTTTTCGTTATTTAAACTTTAGATTTTTCAATTTTTCGACTGTTTTATATTTCTATTTCTCAATTTTTCAACTTTTCGATATTTTAACTTTTCAATTTTTAAAATATTGGGTTTTTCGATCTCTTGAGTTTTCAGTTCTTCTATATTTCAATATTTCAATTTTCCGAATTATTAAATTTTCGATTTTACAATTTTTTGTAATTTTTCGATTTTTCAATTTTTTTATTTCTCGATTTGTCGATTTTTAAGTCATAAATTTTCGAATTTTTATTTTTTGATTGTTCAGTTCTTGAATATTTATATTTTTCAATTAATCTATTTTTGATTTTCCCATTTCTCGACTTCTCGAACTTTCGATTTTACAGGTCTTCAATTCTTCGATTTTTCGACTTTTCTTTTTTGGTTTTTCGATTTCTCAATTTTCCAGTCTTTTAATTCCTCAATTTTTTTATATTTCTGTCAGTTTTAGGATTTTTCAAAATTTCGACTCTTCGACTTTTCGACTTCTGGTTTTTTCGATTTTTTATTTTTTAGATTTTCAGTTTTTGATTTTTTAAACTTTCCATTTTTCAATTTTTCGACTGTTTTATATTTCTGTTTATCAATTTTTCTACTTTTCCATACTTCAATTTTTCCATTTTTAACTTTTCGATTTTTCGATTTTGGCCTATTTATATTTTGAAACGGTCGAAAAATTGAAAAATCTATAGTTTAAAAACGAAAAACTCAAAATTTTAAAAATTTTAAAATCCAGAACCCAAAAAATCGAAAAGTCGAAATTCTAAAAAATCCCAAAACTGAAATATCGAAAAATTGAAAAATAGAAGAAAAATTGAAGAATCGAAAAACTGAAAAATCACAAAAACGGAACATCCAAAAATTGGAAAATTAAAACATTGAAAAAAAATAGAATAATCGAGAAATAGGAAAACTGAAAATTCAAAAACGTCAAAATTTGAAAACTAAAAAATATTGAAGAACTGAAAAATCGAAAAATCGAAACTCGAAAATTTCCCAATCCTCTATTTCTCGATATTTAGTTTTGAATTTTTCGATGTTTCGATTTTTGGATTTCTCGGTTTTTCGCTTTTCCAATTTATCGATGTTTTTATTTTTCAGTTACCCAATTTTTCGATTTTTCAATTTTCTAATTCCGGACTTTCGATTTTTCAGTTTTTCGGTTTTGAAATTTTAAATTTTCGAATTTTCGATTTCTCGATTTTTTGAGATTTCAGTTCTTCAGTATTTCTAGTTTTCAATTTTTCGAATTTCAACGTTGCCAAATTTTCAGTTTTCCGATTTCTCAATTAATCTATATATTTTTGATTGTCCCATTTTCCTCAACATTTCTATTTTTCAGTCCCTCACTTCTTCGATTTTTCGCCTTCGCTTTTTTGGGTTTACGATTTTTCAATTTTCCTTTTTTTTTAGTTTCTCAATTTTTGGATATTTCTTTCAGTTTTGGGATTTTTCGATTTTTTATTTTTTGGATTTTCAGTTTTACGTTTTTTAAACTTTAGATTTTTCAATTTTTCAATTTTTAAAATTCTATATATTTCTATTTCTCGAATTTTCAGTTCTTCTATATTTTAATTTTCAATTTTCCGAATTTTTAAATTTTCGATTTTTCAATTTTTTGAGATCTCGATTTATCATTTCGATGTTTTGATCGTTCAGTCTCTCGATTTATCAATTTTTCCATTTTTAACTTTTCGATTTTAAAATAATTAAAAAATAAGTTGGAAATCTAAAATTTAAAAATTCCGAAAATTGAAAAATGAAAATATAGAAGAACTTGAAAACTCACGACGTCGAAAGTCTTAAAATTTTAAAAATTAAAATATCGAAAAGTTGAAAATCCAAAAAATAAAATGTTGATAAATCGAAAAATCCACGAAAAGTCGGAATACTAAAAAATCCCAAAACAGAAATATCGAAAAATTGAAAAATCGAAAAACAGAAAAATCACAAAATTAACGGAACATCCAAAAATTTGGAAATTAAAAAATTGAAAAATTGCGAAACTGCAAACTCAAAATATCGACAAATCAAAAAAACAAAATCCTGAAAAAATACAAAAATTGAAGAACTGAAAAATCGAAACTTTGGGAAATCGAGAAATGAGGAAAAAAATTGGCGAAAGTTATTTCGACAGAACTTCCCTTGCCTCTAGTTTCACCTTCTTTAATAAACTGACTGATTCATTTTTTTTTTGGTACGTAAAACGAGCGGATAATGAATTACGTTTAAATGTTGACTATTTTTTTATTTTTCGATTTCTCGATTTTCCTATGTTTCAATGATACGAATTTTGTTAATTTTGTCCTCCTCAATTTTACGATTTTTCAATTTCTGAAGTTTCTAAATTTCTAGTTTTCCGATTTCTGAAGTAATATTTTTTTATTTTTCGATTTCCCGACTTCCTATAGTTTCCATTTTTTCGATTCTTCAATTTTTCGATTTTTCAGGTTTTTTATTTCCCAATTTTCCATTCTTTTATTTTCTCAATTTTTGGATATTTCGTTCAGTTTTGGGATTTTTGATTTCTCCACTTTTTATCTTTGGATTTTCAATTTTTTCGTTAAACTTTAGATCTTTCAATTTTTTGACTGTTTTATGTAGGTACATAATTCGGTTTCTCAATTTTTCAACTTTTCGATATTTTAACTTTTCAATTTTTAAAATATTGAGTTTTCAGTTCTTCTATATTTCAATTTTTCAATTTTCCTAATTATTCAATTTTCGATTTTACAATTTTTGTGATTTTTCGATTTTTCAATTTTTTGATTTCTCGAATTCATGTGTTTCGATGTTTTGATTGATTCAAATTCTCGATTCATTAATTGTTCAATTTTTTAAATTCTAAAGTTTTGAATTCTCGATTTGTCGATTTTTAAGTCATAGATTTTCGAAGTTTTATTTTTTGATTGTCCAGTTCTTCAATATTTTTATTATTCAATTTTTCAAATTTTGACTTTGCTGAATTTTCAGTTTTCCGATTTTTCAGTTAATCTATTTTT